TGAAAGAGGAGGTAAAATCTGTGGCAGAAAATCCACTGTAACCAACATCTACAAATATTCATGACCACTCAGAAATTTGTTTCTAATATTGTATAAAGAAAAATTTTAAACCTAAAGCCATGTTGAAACAATTACACTTTGAGCATTAATATGCACACTACCTTGATTTTTCTGAGTTTGTACTACTGTGCAATGAAGTAGTCCAAAACTTAGTGTCTTTAAGCAAGTAAAATATATTCATAAATACAAGGCTCAGTAGTCTAAGCATTGAATAGCTTAATCACTCTCATTTCTGGTTGTCAATGCTATTTATTTTCTGAGAATTCCAATGGAGAGTCAGCCTTTTTTATATGGGCAAGAGTCTGGTGGATATTGCATCCCCTCTCGTGTCCTTCCTTGTACAACACATTCTTTTTATTTAGGCAGCCTCAAAGCACTCCCTGAATTCTAGAAGTGGGAAGTTAATTTCAGGTCTTGATAGGACCGTGACAAAGTTGTGAAAAACCATGTGGGATTGGAAATACTGCTGTCTGTCATCATTGTTGGAAAATAAATTATGCCATGAAGAGTCTACAGAATCTGTTTTATTTCATATCTCTTAATACCCTTATCCAACCATATTCTATCTGATTTTAATGCAAATTTATGAGGCTAAGTGTGCTATTCTTCACTGTATGAGCAGTAAGTGTTAGGAACTGCATAATCCTGTGGGACTGGAGAATCCCTTCATAAAGAGCCTTCATATTAACTCAGAAACATCACCGCTCCCCAGTCTGTCCTGGTTCCTACCATGCAGAGACACACACTGTTCTGCTTCTTTTTAAACACTACTCAGTTGTGTGTGTTCTAGAACTTTATATACATAAACTCATATAGTATGTTTTCTTTTTCTGAAAGATTTCTTTCAGTCAGCAAAATGTTTTTGGAGTGTGTCTTGTTGGTTTGTCAATACTTTTCCTTTGTTGCCTAGTGGTATTCTACTGTGTGACTATGCTAATTTGGTTAATATTTCTTCTATTACTGAAAAGCTGAGTAGTTTCCAGTTTTTAGGTATTAAGAATAAAACTAATGTTAGAGTGCAACTTGATGTGACAGAGTATTGAAAAACAACAGAGAAAGTCAGTGAAACCAAAAGGTGGTTATTGAAAATGTCAACATTGACAAGACTTTACGTAGATCAAGAAAAGGAAGACAAAACTCAAATAGCTGAAATCAGATATGAAACAAGTGACATTTCCTCCATCCAACAGAAATAAAAAAGTTTATAAAGTTACTATAAATAGGCCAGGTATTTAGCTCAGTGTTTCTGCCACCCACTTTGCAAGTGCAAGATCCCAAGTTTGATCCCTGGCACTGGAAAAAAAAAAGTTGCTATGAATAATTGTCTGCCAAAATGTTAGATAGCTTGCATAAAAGTATAAAATCTTAGCTACAGTTCCACAAAACTCAAAGAGAAATAGGTAATTTGAATTATAACAAATAACCAGTCTGAATTAATAATAGTAAAATCAGTTTAAAAAGAATAAGCTCAACTGGCTTTGCTGCTAAATTATATAAAATATTTAAAGGAGATTAAATACAAATTCTTCATTAGGTCCTCCAAGAAGTGAAAGAAAACAAACATTTCAAGTTATTTTAGGACCCCATTTATCTCATTACAAAAGCCACCCAAAAAGATTGCAAAAGAGAAACTACAAGAAAGTATAATTTGGGAGAAAAGGAACAAGAAAATCATCAAGAAAATACCAGCAAATTTAATTTAGCAACATATAAAAAGAGATTTTACATGTGATTAAATTGCATTTCTCCCAAGACTGCAAGATGGATTTAACATTTGAAGGTCAGTAAATGTTTTAAAAGTGTGGTTGAAAATTAATGAAAGTGAAAAAAATTTTAATTTTATTACAGTAAATGGCATGTTTCCATTAAACCTTCTCAAAATATCCCTCATCACTTCAAATACACTTAACCCATCACTCTTGCCACTTTCTGAGGAAGTTCTGGAAGTTTTTTTTTCTCATTGAGTTTATTGGTACTTTTAAAGTATACAGTACAATTACATTTGTCATTTGGATCTTGTATTTTTACATGGCAGATCTTGGCTCTCATTTTTTCCCCATACCGCTGCCCTCCCTTCAAGGAAGTCTTTTTGTGTGTATGTCTTTAGTTGCACTATTGTTTCGGCCTTTATGTCCTGAATTGATTAAAAACACTTACCTTTCATTATTTTGACTTTGTGGAAGAGTCATGTTGCTTGGTGCCAGATCCAGTGAATAAGGTACATGAAGAAAAATCAAAATGTTTTTAGGACCCTACTTTTCCCTTGGCTGCCACTTGACAGCAATATTCACTTAATTTTTTATCATACCTCATTAAGACATGCAAGCAAGTTTTCCAGAACTGTTTAAGAAAGTTAAAAGAATTAGGATATATGAAAAAGAATAATTAGGATAAGTGTGTTCAAAGTGAGAGGGAGTATTCTGAGGAGGATTGAAGGCAATGTGTCTTTTAGCATCATATTTAATTTAAATTTTTATGAATATTTTCATTAACCCAAATACCATATATTCATATATAATGAAAATCATATGGTTGCTTCAATGAAGATAGAAAAAGCATTTGATAAAATGTAACACCTAATCATAATAGAAGCATTCAGTATTTATTAAAAAGGCTTCTTGAACCTGAGCAAAGGCATCTATGAAAGACTTACAGCTGACTTCATACCTCATAGTCAAAGATGGGATCACTTCCTCCAAATATCAAGAGCAAGACAAGGATAAATTTTGTTGTCACTTCCATTCAACACTGTGCTAAAAAGAACCAGGACAATTAACAAAAAGAGGAAATAAAAGGCACCCAGATTGCAAAGGTATAAGTAAAACTTTCTCTATTTGAAAATGATAACATTTTAGAGGTAGAAAATAGATGCCTATAGGAAAATTTAGAAACTCATTAAAAGTTATAGGGATCAATAAAAGAATTATAGGGACCAAATGAACAACTAAAGTAAGTTTATACAAGACAAATGTAGCAAATCAATGATATTTCTTTGCACTAAGAATGAACAATCTAAATCTAAATGGTGCTGAGTCCATTAGATATCTACATGCAGAAGAATATAGCAGGACCCTTACTCATACCATACACAAAATTAACCCAAAAGGATCAAAATCCTAAATATAAAGTATAAAATTACAAAACTCTTAGAAGGCAATTTGGGAGAAAGCCTTCATAATCTCAGATTAAGTAATAGATCCTTAAATTACTTAGTAGCATGAGCAAAAATGAGAAAAATATTAAAAATTGACCTTATCAAAACGTAAAAATTTGCATTTCAAACAAATGCAAAAAAGAAAGTGAATCAAGACTATGCACACTGGGAAATTATTTGCACAATTTACCTCTGATTAAAGTTATGTGTTTACAATTATTTAAAACACTTAAAACTCAATGCAAATAGCCAACTAAAATGAAGGATTGACTTGAAAATTAATTTCTCCAAATTAGATATATATGACCAATAAGTTAATAAAAGGATTCATGACATTATTAGTTACCCCAAACAATGTAATGGAACCCACAACAAGATACTGCTTCACAGGAACTGTAACCACATAGACAATGTAAACCCTAAATTTTTTGACCAACCCACATCAACTGATCTCCCACAATGAATTTCATACTTCACTACCATGGCTGCAATCAGACACAAAAGTGCATAGCACTTTCCTTCCACTGTGAGGCTCATAAATTAGAAGCTACTTACTTGTTTGTTCTAAGTGAGTTTAAATAGCATTTGAATTATTTGTTCATTAAATTTCAAACAATTGGTTACTAAATCATAATTCAATGCTTTGGAGCAGTGGAAAATAGAAAAAATAGCTGCTTTGACAGATTTCTAAAAAATTTTCATGGAAATTGGTATGTTAAAAAGTATCTACTGCTTTGGAGGTCATTGAATGTCAATCTATTTTTCTTCAGAAATTCATTTATGCCACCTGTGTTAGTCACCTTTCTCTCTCATTGCTGAGACAAAATACCAGACACCCAAAGGTAGAAGGGAAGGAGTTTCTCTGGCTTATAGTTCACAGAGGTTTCCATCCACAGTCAGCCAACTCCAAGGCAGTGATGACAGAGGCATGGCAGAGCAGAAACAACATGGCACACACAAGGAAGCAATAACAAGAGAGAATTATTGGTGTCTCCCTGCCCCTAATACTAGTGCCCTTGAGCCTAGCATAGCATTATGAATCAATTCCAGCTTTGCACATACTAGATCAAGCCTATGACCACATGTGGCTTTGGGGGGACATCTAGACCCAAAGCATGACACCACTTAAATTTCCAAATAGTTTTGAACAGAGTTTAATAACCCCTTAAATTGATTTAATTTTCTCTATTGGCATTATATCTCTATTCTTAATTCTAACTTATTGTGTTTATATTTTTTCCTTTTCTATTAATTTCAGCAATCAGCTCTTCTATCTAACTCTCTTTTTATTTCTCTATTGGCATTATATCTCTATTCTTAATTCTAACTTATTGTGTTTATATTTTTTCCTTTTTCTATTAATTTCAGCAATCAGCTCTTCTGTCTAACTCTCTTTTTCTTCGCTCCTTCTCTATTGCTCCTTCTCTTTCCTTTCTTGTTCCCTCCTTCTCTTCCATTTTTTCTTATTCTCCACTTCCTCTTTTTTGCATGATTTTTTTCTTTCTTTCTTACCATCCTCTTTAGTATGATAATTTTCTCTTTCCTCCAAAGCTATGACTGTTATAAGAATACACTGTTCCAAAATATTTTAATATATTTATGGTGTGTATATATGTATATACGCGATATTGTAACATTAAAAAACCGCATCCTACTTGGAAGGAGGGAAATGGTGAGATCAAAGGCATATCCATTGCTTAGACAACACTAACCATTCGGTACAGAAAGTGATGCTTTTTAGTGGAAAAAATTCCTTTTTCCAGTTTCCATGAATGCTAAGCATTTTTTAAATATTCAGGGATATTTTATTTGTCAATTGAGAGAAAAATTTAATTACACTGTCTAGTACCTTCCTTAGAGCTATGTGCATCTCTTTGTTCCTCAGGCTGTAAACAATGGGGTTAAGCAAAGGGGTCAGCACTGTGTATGTCACAGCCATCAGCATGTCCTCGCAGAAGGAGTCCCTGCTCTTGGGCCTCAGATAGACAAAGCAAGCGAATCCGTAGTGTATACACACCACAGTGAGGTGGGAGGAGCAGGTGGAGAAGGCCTTATACCTCCCCTTTGCTGAAGGCATCTTCACAACTATGGACACAATGAAGACATAGGAAATAATAATTAAAATAAAGCTGCCCACCAGCACAAAGGCAGAGAGCACAAAAATAACCATTTCATGATAAGAAGTGTAATCGCATGCAAGGTGAACCACAGGTGAAATGTCACAAAAGAAATGTTGTATATTGTTGGAGTCACAAAAAGACAAGCTAAATATCATGGTGGTGATGCACAGAGATATCAGGAACCCCAACACTGAGGAGGCCATCACAAGCTGAAAGCAGATCTTTCTTGTCATAAGGGTTTGACAATGCAGCGGATTGTGGATGGCAGTATAACAGTCATAGGACATGGCAGCCATGATGAAACAGTTGGTGGATGCCAGGCCAAAGAAGAAGCACATCTGCGTGGCACACTCAGGAAGAGAAATGGTCTTGCTCTCTGATAACAAGTCTGCTAACATGCGGGGGATGATAACCATAGTGGTACAGGTTTCAGAACAGGACAGGCTGAATAGGAGAAAGTACATGGGGGTGTGAAGGTTTTGACTGAGCTTGATGGCCAAAATAATGGACAGATTTGCAAATAGAATTGTCACATGTGAGAATAAAATCATCACAAAGAGTAGATTCCGTAGTTCTGGGAAACTGGAAAACCCCCACAGAAAGAATGTGCTCACTGTGGTGCAGTTGTTCATCTTTCTGGGGACACAATACTTTCTACCAATGACACAGAGATGCTTTTGTCAATACTCTGAGATAAGTTTTTAAAGTAACCTTTGACACTGATGTCCTCTGGGCTTTGATTATGGACCTCTGAATAAATGTAAGACAATTCATAAAGAACCTCAGAAAGGGAGTTAAATGCAAGAGACAAAAGTAAGAGTTAGGAGTCTGAATGATTCTAGTATGAGAATATACATAAGCACAATATGGTCTGAGTATCATTTTGAATTCCACTCACAAATGCATTCTTTACCTCTCTTTGTTCCATTCTGTATCTGCAAGGAAGAGACAAAATAAGAGTAAATTCTCATCTTCTGGATGTTGATAGGCCACATTTTTCAATTTTTTTGATAGAATTGTATCTTGGCTGTCAGGAGTGCTTAGTTAACTTTTGAAGAAATGAGTAAAATAAGTCAATAGCTTACATCATTTCAAATTAACATAGCATTTTAAAATTCTGGAGAAATCTGAAAATTTCCAAAAGAAATTTCACATTTCTTCCAATGCAATGCTGTCTTTATCTGTACTTCCCACAACTCAGTGCTCCAAGGATAATTTTAGACTCAGTGAATTAATTTAGGAAGTTGTAACTTGGATTCCTATCTTTAGTAATAACTGAAGCTTGAACTGTACAAAATTAATTGTTCTTAAATTCTAAAAAAATTATCATTGAAGTTCCTTCCCAAGTACATGAGATGAATTAACCTGGAATTATGATGATCTCAAAGATACGGTGTCCTTCTAGAATGGCAAATTTTGGGGCCAGGGATTTAGCTCACTGGTTCTGCTGCCTGCCTGGCAAGCATGAGGACCTGAGTTCTATCCCATAAAAAAAAAAAAAAAAAAAAAAAAAAAAAAAAAAACAGAATGGCAAATTTTGGTCAATAATTTCTGATCAACTTTTGAGGTTTTTAGTAAAATTTCTAAGAACATTTTCTAGCTGGTATATATAAACAGTTTGCTTTACAGTACAGTCCTGAATAAATAAAGCTAAGATCTTCAAAGGAATTTTGTGAGTCACATTTCTATTTTGATCATCAATTAAACATACAACTCTTGAAGGGGGTGAAAGCAGAAAGGTGATTCATAGAATCAAAACCACAGAATTTCAATTTTGACTTTGGCCTCTGTTAAATATGAAAGAAAAAGTGTGAAGAAGCGAGTGTGGATAGTGAAAGGCTAGGAAAGAAAATCACTGACTGGTAATCATTTTAAAGAATTCATACAAATGAAAGTCAAAGCAATTACAGTGTTTATTGAAAAATTGCTGTCTTCTATTTGTAAGGCAGTTGTGGGCAAAAGAATGCAAGGGGAGTCTGCCCAGGTAACCCACACCTACTCAATACTTATAATGTGGAAGGCAATTTGATTTATAAAATGTGCTAGAGTTAGCTACAGCTGCCTTATATATAGCTTATTAGTCTATGTGAAGATTTTGCATTCTGACTTTACAAAACATGAAACACTGTATGCAGTGGTTATGTTACTACTGGAGGTCACACTTTCAACCTATACTGATTAAATCCTAATCATTTTCAGGGCAAACTAGGCATGGGAAACACAGTATAGAACCATATATGTAGGATTCCTGGGATGTGAAAGCACATAACTACTGTGCTTAGTGAAGCCAGAGAACCCCTCTCTGAGAAGGTGACATACTTAAATGGAGAGTAGATTAACAAAGTGTGAACAGCACATAATGATAAGGACAGAGAACATCACAAGTACAGGGCGTACCTAATACAAAGATCCTAAGGTGGGCAAGAAATTTACCCAAGCAATCTTCAGCAAAGACCAAGGGGCTTATTTTTCAACCACACTACAGTGACTTTTTACCATGAATGTTTCTCTGGCTATTTACCACTAAGGAAAACTTTTTCATTCTTATTGCTTCAGCTACCACTTATTATGATTCCCCAATTCTAGTCTTTATTTTCTCTGAGATGTGAAAGCACATAACTACTGTGCTTAGTGAAGCCAGAGAACCCCTCTCTGAGAAGGTGACATACTTAAATGGAGAGTAGATTAACAAAGTGTGAACAGCACATAATGATAAGGAGAGAGAACATCACAAGCACAGGGCATACCTAATACAAAGATCCTAAGGTGGGCAAGAAATTTACCCAAGCAATCTTCACCAAAGACCAAGGGGCTTATTTTTCAACCACACTACAGTGACTTTTTACCATGAACTTTTCCCTGGCTATTTACCACTAAGGAAAACTTTTTCATTCTTATTGCTTCAGCTACCACTTATTATGATTCCCCAGTTCTAGTCTTTAGTTAAAAAACACTCAAAATTCCTCTGCCACATCTCCAAAGCCAGAATCCCCCAAGTATTCAATGCAACATTTCTAGAGCAAAACTGACCATCTACTTTTGCATAATAAAATTTATTCTGCATTTTGTGCTTCCTCATCCAAGGCCTATTCTTCACTTACTACCGGGTTTTTGTGCCACATCTATGATGATGCTGTCTCTTGATTGTAGACATCTTTTGTATCCCCTTTGCTTACAAGCCAGACAACACTATAATTTCTAATCTTTATTGCATATTTCAGCTATACGGTCTCACATATCTTCATAGCAACCCATCATTTTGTTTTTTAATGAAGAAACCATAGTTCAGAGAGTTACTTAATTAGCAAAGTTGTATTTTCAGATATGTTGAAGTAAATTCTGCTTTCTTTATCTATTCAAGTACAGCTGTGATAGAAGGTACGTCAATGTGACATTACTTTCCCTATCCCAGTGACACTGGCAGCCACAAAAGAGAAAGAAGCGTGGAACATTATGTTAGCTGCTTTTTTCTCTGAACCTTACCCTCTTTCTACCATTGGTTTTTTGCCTTGAGGTATTGTATTCTATTCTGTCTTTTTAGATCTCTAAATTTTCCCCACTTCAGTTTTCTGGGTTATCTCTCTACCAAGAATAAGAATTTCTTAATTTTCAGCTTATCAGTACCTATGATTTCTTCAATACCTTCTTACAGAATCTAAACATCTACAAGTCCTTGATTGTGATAAATTATAGTATGATGTTCATTGTAAAGAAAAGAAAGACTCTATATTCCTACCTTCTAAAAGAGGAAAAACCACCTTCCAGTTTCTTAAAAATCACTAGATGATTAAGCTGTAAGACTTTAGTCTCACAATTCAGGTGTGGCTTTCTAGTTCTTCCTGTGATTTCACAAGTCCCTCAGTGCAGTACCCCTGCATTAAGGCAATTTTTCTCTTTCAATGAATGTAATGTGTCTCTTATAAATTTAGTCTCCTATTATATGAAAGGTGTCATTTTCATTTCTTGCTGATGAATCTGAAGAACTTAAAAAACTTTAATGGGAGTACTGGGACCACTGAGGTCTATTATCTTGAGACTTCTGCTTTTAGGCACAAGGTATCATATGCTTTTCATCACTTGGTGTGATGTCCATACTTTTTTAAAAATATTCACACACCATAAGGACTTTTCTTTGATGTTTGTTCTTTTTCTTCAAAATACCAGTAGAAATTATTGACCTTCATCATGTTAAAAATCTTGGAAAATAGTGGTTCCCACAGGCTTATTTTACTTTCAGTATAATAGCACTCATTTTATAACACTGAAAATCTGCCAAGCTTGTCAGGTCTCCTACCCTATTCACAGGATAAGGGAATGTAATTTCATAAGAAGATACTATCTAGAAATACAAGAGGACAATAGGAAGAAATTTATTTTCTCATGGGAGTTACTTTTCATTAAAAAAGCATATTAACATGGAAATACACTTTCTAGTTATTGTATTGCTAATCTTTATGACCTCAAGTGACTCCTAATTGCCTCTCTCATAACCTTGCCCCTCAAAGCCTACTGTTCTCTCCATTAAATCCTGCATTTTTCTCATTCTGTTCTCTGTTCCTTCTGTCTGAAGAATCTTATATATGCTTCAAACTTCAGAGCAGTTCATACCTCACCCCGTAAGCCCCCCATTTGGAATAATGCATAAAACAGAAAGAGAAAGAAATGTCATTAGGAAGTTCACTAGGAAGGACATTTTGGCCAGCCTCCACTGGGTACATACAATATGCTAACTAAGACAGTATAGCGAATGAGATAGCTATATATGATAATGAATTAGGACAAATGGAGCAAGAGAGATGTTTTTCCTGAACTAAGCCTATTTTATGAGAGCAGGGAATACATCCTTAAGCCTCTTTGAGAGCTGACTCACACTCACAAGTATGTGCTTCTGAGAATTTCTCCTGGATGAAATGAACATGACTGTTTTGAAAAGTCCTGGCCTGAATGCCCTTATATCCATAGTGGCCCAAAGCCACCCACTTGGTGCAGTGAGTAAAAAACAAAAACAACAAATGTGCCTGATTTAAAATAAGATTGAACTACTCTGAACCTCTATTTATTATTGCTATTGTTTAGATACAAAATGTTCCTCAAGTCTCATTTGTTCAGTGGTGGGGATTTTGGAAGGTGATTTGATTGTGGAGACACTATACTCATCATGAAATAATCTATTAAAAATAAAATAATAAATAATTTCTCAGATAATAACAGAGATGATGCCCATAGTGTAAGACATGATTAAGAAATCTAGAACACACACAGATAAAAAAAAAATAGAGGAGCTGAGGAACATGAAGAACACCCAAAATAGGAAATAAACAGAATCCATAAAACAGATGCAAGAAGATTTTCAGGAGATTAAAATAGTAAGGGACCATGAGAAATCAATCCAGTAGCTGCTAGACAATGCAAAGGAGAATAACATAAGACTGATCAGAGTCAATAAACAGGGGACGTGCAGATGACATAAAAAATTTGTTCACAGAAGTAATGGCAGAAAACTTCCAAAATAGGGGGAAAGAACATGACATAAAGATAAGTGATGCATAGAAGACTCCAACTAGTCCTGATTAAAAAATGTATACATAGGCATATAATGGTTAAGATTCCAAAAACCCAACAGAAGAAAATT